TACCATAGCTTTAGGGAACCGTAATCTCTACTCTTCACTGCACAGTCCCCCTATCTAAGTGTTCATAGAGTCTCTGGTGTCTAGGAATTAAGGGACCTCTCCAAGTGTACTGATTCCCTTAGGATTCAATTTCTAGCAAATTGCATTGGTTTATTCTATCATCAAAAATCTCACAGCTCCTTAAATTCACAGGACCACCCCCTTCTTCTCACTTTCTCCCCTTATATCATTCAGGTTGCCCAGAATTATCTAATTCCTTCTTCTTTCCTCTACCAACACTTCCATTTCCCTCTAAAACTCACTTTTCTCCCTATCTTTGGGAGTTACATAGGCAAAAACTGCCCACCAAGGCTCCTCACAATTGAAACTAATTTTAAATAACCCATATTGAGGATGCCTCTCCACACATTCTACATGAATTTGGTTTCTATTCCAAGCCACCTAAATTCCACCAGCAAACCTAACCCCTTCGATTGCTACCATATCATTAAAACTGAAGCCATGAAGAAAACCCTTGCATTCTCATGGTCGAGATACATGTTTCTAATAGTACAACTACCTCTGGTTTCTTCAAACGAATCAACATTCTCAAATATCTTTTAAAATCCCTCCCTCTCGTACTCTGCAATTCCCCATTAAGATGGTTTTATCCATATACACAAGATATGATTGATCAATCAGTCCTCATTAAACCACCCTCCACCTCTGTGATAGCCTTCAAAAACTCATCCTCCTTTTCATCCCCTTTTACGAGTCTGTCTGGTGGACGTCCTCCATTCTCAATCAAAGTCTCCTTCCATCCATATAAACACAGTTAGAAACCACTATGTTGACATCCAACTCCTACAAATATCCTCTATTCTCAACATACTCCCTATTCACAATACTCAACTCTCCACACTCCCTTTTCCCAACTTCCATTGCCCTCATGCTTCTCTTCAGATGTCTAGCACTGCTGTGGGGTACTATTGATTGCTTCTCCTCCTGTCCTCCCCCTTGTAACTTCCATTCTACCGTAATTTCGTCCCAGATTGTATCATTAACAATCTTTGACTTCCTTCTTTCACCATAGTGTATCAAGACTGGCACTATAGCTTTTGCATCAACAGGCCCCTCCCTTCTAGAATTCGGTTCTTCTACTTGTAGACCCTTAAAACAGGATCCATTCCCTTCTTTCCATTCTCCCATATTCTCCATGCCTTTATGCTCCCCTCCTATCCTTATGGGTCCTCTTCTCTTCTGTGCACTAAAGTCTAGGCTCCATAGAGATTATTAGTAGCCTCTTTCTCCTTCTGTCCTAAGTCCTCCTCCATTTTATTGCTAGTATCTTCCATCTTATCCTTACAATCACATTTTACATGCTCGTACTTTCCACAATGATAGCATAACAGATGCAAACGCTCATATTCCACAGCAAATTCCCTTCCCTCTATTGTGGCAACAGAGGTTTAGACAAATCTACTTGAACTCTTAGTCGAGTGAACTTCCCCCCTTGTTTAGAAGAGTGTTGTTATATCCACCTTTACTGTTCTTCCTATTCGATCTCTTATTACCTGCAGTATCGTCTCCTCATAACACTCTAGTGGTAGATTAGACAAGTGAACCCAAAGCAACATATCCTTTAGCACCTTTATTATTGGATTGAAGTTAGCTCTCCATTCACAAACAGTCAGGTAGTGATCTGAAATTAGCCGTGAACCATCGCTTAAAGCCTTATTATAATCTTCCCAGCCTGTGAACTTAACCATAAAGAAATTGTTCCTTAAATCCATTGCCGAAATAGAGCCCTCTCTTCCCTATATTGTCTGCAATTTGGAATCCAGAGATCTTAGGCTCAAGGTCCACCCTAACGCCTTCACGACCAAACTCTTAGCATAGGGCTGTCATAGCTTCTTTTTCCCTTTCTCTAAAATCACAATTTTAGGGATTCAAAAATTCCCTTTCATTTGATGAATAATCAAAATATCAAAATCTTCTTTCTCCCTTATCTCACTTTCTGTACTACTCTGATCTTCCATTTGCCATTCCGTTCACTTTATTTACATATGATGTTCCTTCCTCAAACTAAGAAAGGTCCTCTGATTGCTTCGATTCACTCCTAATCTTCTTTCTTGTTCACTGTAGGAGGTCATATTCATTCACTGCCTTGGTTCCCCGGAGCATGGGAAAGCCATTAGAAAGATTACTCATGAAGCCATCAATAATAAGTAAGCAACATGAATCTTATTATTATTATTATTATTCCTTGTAGTGCAACTTGTCATTCACTTGTTATGAAAGTGTTCGGTAATTACATTCTGCTTTTTTTAGACCATGGAGTGATTTTCCCTATTATTAATTAATTATACACGTAAATTGTGCTGCTTTCATTGGCTTTTCAACAAACGGTTTTTGGCAGACAACAACAAACCGAACCAAATTGGCTGGTTCAACCGAAAAACTGGTGAAACAGCCAGTGGTTCGGTTTGGTTTAGATGTTAAACTGGGAGGAGTTGAATTGGTAGCAAACCGGTCAAATCAGAGTAAACTAGTGAAAACCGATAAAAACTAGTGTAAACCAGTAATGAACCAATTTGGATGATTATGTTGTTATTGGTCTTATTTTTTCTCATTCAACTCCTAATATTTCAGCCCCTATAGATTTAAATGAATTTTCATGATGATTTTGCTATCAATGATTATTAATTTTAGTTAATGATGAACCATAAAGATCAAAATTCTCAATGTTGTTATAGTTTGTTATTGTTACAATCAAACTATTATTATATTTCCTTATATTTTATTATTGGCGATTATTAATGTTGTTATATTTTGTTATTTTCAATTAAATTATATTATTTTAATATGACCGGTTAGACCCCGAGTTGATCCCAATCCAACCAACTGACCCTTAAACCAATATCTCAACCGGTTTAGTATCCGGTCCGGTTTTTTGTTCCTAGGTTTTCGATGAATGTGGGATTCCAATTCAAATTAAAGCATCCATCAGCTGCTTTCCTTGTTAATTTAAGTTTATTAACTATATTTCAAAGTATGATGGGAGTACTATACATACATACATATATGGAAAACGACAGATTAACTTAAAAGTGAAAAAAAAAAAGCTTCATAGTTCTATTAATTAAAAAACAAGCCGAATATTCTTTAACATGGGGAAGCATGGAATCACCGATCAGAACACAATGCTTCACACAATATAGCATGCTGTAATTGGCCTCCTTCATGCAACGCCATTTCATTAATTACTTCGATTAATAAGACAAGGTATAGGACAAATAAAAAATCTGTGGTAAATACTTGTCAAAATGAGTAACATGACCCCCATTAAACTTATAAATATCTGTGTGTGTATATATATATATATATATATATGAGTGTGTCTGTATTTTACCATGAAGTTATGAATAAATTAAATCATGATCAATACGTAGAACAATTTATTGCTTCTCTTTTTCTTCATACACACAGACACACATGCACTCAAAGAATGTGTAAAACGTTACAGATATGCACTCAAGTCAATATACTTTTTTCGTATAGAACCCTTGATTCATACTAATGATGATGAATTAATTACTTATAAAGTTTAATTTATAAGGATAAAATCAAAAAAAAAATTAATATCTCTATATATTATCAAAATGGACTAACATTTTGGTTAAGCTAAATTAAGATAAAAAGTACTTGAATTATAAACGGAAAAAATATTCCTGATAACGATGTTGTCTATAGAATATTCTCTTATTCACATTTTCTTCCTTCTTTTGGATTCATATATGCGTATAAAATAGATCAAATGTCCATTTATCTTTACATATACATATACAGCAAGGTTTTGGAAAGAAAAAAAGGGATTATAATCCTTTGTTGGCCAACAAAAAAAATCTAATCCAAGGATAGCAGCATGGGATAATGTGAATAAAATGCTAACGTAGAATTAATTTGGAAAAAAAATACTTTGTCAGGCTAAAATAAAAGATAAAAGGATAGCTTTATTTTCTTAACTTTATATGAAAGTTCAATTTGATTCCCAAATTTTAGAAAATTTATTTTCAGTTCTTTAATCATAATACTGTTATTTTCAAAAATTTAACTTAATATATTAACATTTGAAAATATTTTATCAGTGTTTAAAATTTTAATGTGAGCCGTTTTTTGATAGCAACGTTAGTTCAAAGGATTAAAAACATACTTTATACGTTTATCAAAATAAAAAGAAACGCAATATTTTAGAAATTGCTAGCCAAATGCGCTTCTCAAAATGGTTTCCTCACTTAAAACCGCCCCCAACCCAAAACGTTCTTCACGCCTTCCCCTACATAATCAAATGCTAAAACGACCCACAACTTATGGCAGTTTCATGCTTATTTACTTACTTTTTTATTATTCTTTATTTATTTTCTTCTTTTAACTTGTTTTCTTAATTTACTCATTGTTACCCTCACAGCCTCACCCACCTCTCCTTCTAAGGAGCATTTCTTTCTGCGCATTTCTTTCCAATTCCAATGTTCCCCACTTCCCTTCCACCACCTTCTCTATATTTCTTGTGACCCATCGCTCCAAAATCTCGCCTTTGCTAGCCCCGACCGTGACATATATGGTCAGTCGTATGAAAAATCTTCATATTTGAATTTAAAAAAAAAAAAATACGTGCATTTACTTTTACTCTTTCAAACCCTATCTTCCAATTTGTTCTATATATTCTCGCCGTCCTTGACACTTCAAAACACATTACACCACCCCAAACACACACGGACACAGACACACGTCCAATTAGCTCCCAAGAAAAGCCTACCCCAAATATATATTTTTATTTTTAACGCCAAATATTAACATCAATTCATCAAATAAGTGAAAAACAGAGACAGTGTTCTGTTTTTAACCTTTTAAAGCTTTGGCCTTTAAATTCACTTCCTCCCCTCTCTGCAAAGGCAAAACTTGGTTTCTAATTTTCACTGTTTCTCTTTCTCCGTGTCTCTGAGTCTGAAACTGTTGATACTATGTGCAAATCGTCGTCGTCTTCTTCGTCTTCCTCTGCTTTGAGTGAAAGCAATGAGGACCATATGTTGGCGCTTTTGATCCCAAAACTTCCAACAATGGAACATGAAATCGAAAAGCCCCACAAAACCCATTTGCGTGTGGCCCTCGACGAAGCAAAATGCATCTCGAAAATAGCCTTACCTATGGTGTTAACTGGTCTTTTGCTTTATTCACGTTCCATCATTTCCATGCTCTTCCTTGGCCACCTCGGCGACCTCGCTCTCGCCGGCGGTTCGCTCGCCGTAGGCTTTGCCAACATCACCGGTTACTCTGTTCTCTCTGGTCTCGCCATGGGAATGGAACCCATTTGTGGTCAGGCCTTTGGAGCCAAAAGATTCAAGCTTTTAGGACTCGCCATGCAGAGGACAGTGATTCTTCTTCTGCTAACTTCACTGTTCATATCAGTCCTATGGCTCAACATGAAGAAGATACTAATCTTTTGTGGTCAAGAAGAAGATATCGCCAACGAGGCTCATATTTATATACTTTATTCTCTTCCTGATCTTTTGGCACAATCCTTTCTTCACCCTCTTCGAATCTATCTACGAAGCCAATCAATAACACTTCCTTTAACTTACTGTGCTTCGTTATCGATTCTTCTTCATATGCCCATTAATTACCTTCTGGTCTCTGTTCTTAAGCTTGGAATAAAAGGCATTGCGTTAAGCTCTGTTTGGACCAACTTCAATCTTGTGGGGTCACTCGTCTTCTACATCGTGATTTCTGGCATAGACAAGAAAACCCGGAATGGGTTATCTTGGAATTGTTTAAGAGGTTTGAAACCACTAATGAATCTGGCGATTCCAAGCTGCATTTCAATGTGTCTCGAATGGTGGTGGTACGAAATCATGATATTACTCTGTGGATTGCTTCTGAATCCTCAAGCAACCGTTGCTTCCATGGGAGTTCTGATTCAAACCACGGCTTTCATCTACACGTTTCCTTCTTCATTAAGCTTTGGTGTATCCACACGGGTTGGAAACGAACTCGGTGCAGAAAATCCTCAGAATGCGAAGCTGGCCGCCATTGTTGGGCTCTGTATCAGTTTCTTTCTAGGATTCTCAGCATTGGCGTTTGCGATATCAGTGAGGAAGGTGTGGGCTTCGATGTTCACGGAGGACCCAGAGATCATAGCTCTGACATCGACGGTGTTGCCGATTATCGGACTCTGCGAACTGGGGAACTGTCCACAGACGACGGTGTGTGGTGTTTTGAGGGGCACGGCGAGGCCGAAGCTCGGAGCGAACATAAACTTAGGATGTTTCTATCTTGTCGGAATGCCTGTAGCGGTGTGGTTAGGATTCTTCGCAGGTTTTGATTTTAAAGGCTTATGGTTGGGTTTGTTGGCGGCTCAGGGATCTTGTATGGTGACGATGCTGTTTGTGTTGGGTCGAACAAATTGGGAAGGTCAAGCACGGAGAGCGAAGGAGCTGACATCATCGGATTCCAGCACAGAAGAAGAGGAAGAAGGAGGAGATGATGATGGAGTGAAGGATAACGACGACTTGGGTATATTAGTTTGAATTTTTTTAGTTGAGGATTTATTTTCAAAAAAAAAAAAAGACATGGAAACTAATTATTCTTTTCTAGCTATAGACTATAGTAGTATATTGTAATTGTAATTTGATTGTGAGGGGGATGAATCAATACATTGCATGTTCCTACGATTCATGTTTGATTGCTGGGTGCATGCATTTTGTGTCATTTTTAACCAAGATAAGATTTTGTGTTATATACATTATATTAAGGATTTTGCATATATATTTACCCTCATGAAGCGACAATATATGATGTCATAGATTCTAATTGCCTAATGTATTTTTCGCCAAAAAAAATGCCTAATATTTTTTTTTTCACATTCGTTTTACATGCTCTCAGAAATAACACTTTAAAATAGTAAAAAAAAAAAAAAGGAATACATTAACTATGACATAATTATGAGAAGACTTGTCAATGGCAAATTGTCCTAATAACAGCACTACCTATCATGCATGGATAAGATCTCGAGCTTGAATTTGATATTGACACATTTGTGCGTAAGTGTTTAAATTGTATAAATAAAAAAGTTACGACAACATCTATAAATGCACCAAAAAATTACATCATACTACCTCCGGTTCTTAATACAAAAATTTATTTGATTTTTATTTTGATCTTAAATATGAAACCTCAATCTACTTTGTCTTTCATATTTATCCAGTTTTTTCCAAAATAGTCTTTATAATAATGATACTTTTAGCCAATACACTTAATTAGCAAGGATATTTTAGGAAAGATAACATCTATTTATTACAAATAACTAACATAACTAATTTCCTTAATCTTTTCAAACTATGATATTCGTGATTTTTTTTCTCTGATAAGTTGCCCAATCTAACAGTTGAAATAATACTACCTCCGATCTTTAATATAAAAGCTAATTAATGAATTTGAGTAGAATAAGAAAATTAATTTAGTTATTTATAATAAATATGTGTTATCTTTCCTAAAATATCCTTACTAATCAAGTGTATTAGTTAGAACTATTATTGTTGCAAAAACTATCTTGAAAAAAAATAGATAAATATAAAAAACAGTAGATTGAGATCTTATATAATTAGGATCAAAATAAAAGTCAAACAAGCTCGTATATTAAGAACCAAAAGTAATATTATTCTAAATGAAGTTATATTTTCAATTATTTAACAATATAATGTAATAATAGAATAATACTTGAATTCATAAAATCATAATGATTTGTATGAAAATTTGTTTGTTTTATGGGTTAATATAATATTTGATCTCTCAAGTTTGTCTTTATTTTAATTTTGGTCTCTTCACTTTCAAACCATAAGTTTTGATTTATCAAGTTTCTTTTTATTTAAGACATTAATCCTTATAATTCACTAAAAATCTAGACCATTTTAACTGATTTAAAACTTGAGTGACCAAAACCCAAATAAGAACAAACATAAAATATCAAAGATTATATTAACCATTTATTTATATATTTATTTTCATACATGCACTTTGTGATTTTATTATGGGAAATAAGTCATTAGGTTTAATCCAAAATCAAAAAGGAAAAATGCATTGTTTAAAGAAGAAGAAGAAGAAGAAGAAGAAACGTAGCATGTTTCTTGCATATAATTGGTATAGTACAATTACTCGATCCTTAATATAAAAACTAGTTGACTCATTTGAGTAGAGTAAAAAATATTAGTTATGTTAGTTATTTGTAATAAATGGGTGTTGTCTTTTCTAAAATATTTTTACTAATCAAGTGTATTGGTTAAAACTACATTATTATAAAGACTATTTTGGAAAAAAATGAATAAATATAAAAGACAAAGTGGATTGGGATCTTATATTTAGAATTAAAATAAAATTCAAACCGGCTCTTATATTAAAAACCAAAGGTAGTATATCTAATATTTAAAACATGATGTTCCGATACTATTTATTTCACAAACAATATGAAATATGGAAAATGTGCTTCTAGGAAAAAATTGTGCAAGCTCACTTACCTGTGTGTGTATAAAAAAGAATTAATTGTACGGTGTGTGTGTATATGTTTCTAAAAGAAATGCTGGGAGAGGGAAAGTTTTTTGTTTTTTGGGGGTAAATACAAAGATATGATGATCATCGATCGTGTCCAATTCAATTTTTTAAGGTCTGATCTAGTTTAATTATACTATAAAATGATTCTTATATTTAAGATCAGTGGAGTAAATAGTAACTTATATATTTAGGATCTAAGAATGTAGAAGAAAACAATAATTACAATTTTTCCAATTATACTCTTAGCTGCAGTACCTTTGATGCATGCGATTGAGAGAGAGAGTTATATAATAGATGAAATACACTAAGGACATTAATTTTTTAAATTAATTGATATATTAAGTATGTGCTTGTAATAAAACCTTAAAACCACCAACAAAGTCTTGGTTGAGGCAAACAGCCTTACTCTCATAAGAAAGAGAATATAAATTTGAATACCGAGAAGCATATTTATTGGATAAGCGAAAACTTTTTATGTTCTAAATCTTAAAAAATGATACCCTTGTTCAAATGGGAAAAAAGACCTTAAAACCACACATAAAACGAGAAGAAACACATAGAGAAAGAGCACACGTGTTTGTATCCTAATAGAATCAGTCTTTGACACACATAGAAATAGGCACACTACATTTTAGCTAAAAACCACGTCTTAACCCAAAACACTAAAACAGTATATGAGTCTGATCTTTTTCATCACTTATATGCCTCTAGGCGGCTAACTTAACCCTAATCCAATATGAGACTTCCCTGCATACCAAGCCAAGTCAACCCATATTTAAAATCTATCCCGACACATTTTCCTTGTGGCTTAATGTGATGAAAATAACTAGTCAAGACTCCATCTGTACAGTGAACTAAGAATGTGTACGTCCTACGCATCACCGATTTGAAACCTGATCCAGAATAATCAAAATGTTGTATTTTTTTGTTGAGCTTAATTACGTGACCTATATCATAATCTCCATGTGAATTATACTTGTTCATCGACATGAAATTAACTGGAACCAAAATTAAATAATATATATATCCCGCACAAATGAATTATTAGCTAATCAAATCCTTCTTCTACGCAAGTCACTTGTGTGTGTATATAAAACATCACAAGTTGGAGCTAGTTGGATTTGGTATAAGTAATCCTTTTATATAAGTTAAAAGTAATATTATCTTTGGTCCTTAATATAAGAGTTAGTTGAAAGTTTAGATTTGATACACTCAATTCACTTTGTATTCCATCTTTTTCCAAAATATTCATATTGATTGCAAGTGTTCCCACCTGAGAGATAATTCTAATAATCCAAAACATATGATTGAAGATGACCAGAAGGAGTACGTGATACGCATTTTAGAACTCAGTTTTACTTTTATTTTTGCTTCTACTTCTATTTCTATGAAAAAACTCTTTCATGATACTAAACGGATGATTAAATGATAGCCAAAACGGTAGGAAGGAGAGAAATTGGAATTAGGGATATGATTAAATGGAGGAAAATTAACTTAAAAGAGAGCTGCCCGTGTTTCACAAGCGCTAAGTAACGGAAATCGTTAAGTACGATGTACGTACGTAGTTCATAGAATGGAAGCCATAAAACTGATGATTGTCCTGGTTCAAGTTTGAAACGCAGCATAGACAAGGTTGAAAAATTATACTACCATTGCAAGAGACAACTTTTATTAAAATGAATCAATAATAAAATAGCATCCAGCAGACCAGCACCTAATATTAATTATTTTCTGTTAGTGGCAGTCTCACCCAAAAGGGGGGTGAATTGGGTGAGTTATAAAAAAAATTTAACCGAATTGAAAAAGTGAAATTAATAAAAACAGAGAGCTTTGAGTTAGAAAGATTTCACCGCAGATCAAAGACACCTAATTTATACTGCTTCGGTCTTAAACACTTGACCTATGTCTAGTCCTAAGAACAGCTCTGAGATTTCTACTATAGTCCAAGATTAAACGGGCTCTTGGCGCCTCAGTACAAAATTGATTTTCTCAATCACTCCCCCCTTACTACCCGTAAGGTTACAATCCCTCTCAAGAGTCCATACTCTTGAGTTACTCTTAGAAACTAAGTAAAGAAGGTGTATCAGTCTCTCTTACAGAGTAAATGAATATGAAACACTGAAGCTCGGTTAAAAAAAAAAAACAGAGTATTGAATGCAATAGTAAATATTTCAACAGAGGGTAGCTCGCGTATTCAATTTCTCATTCAATGCTTCTTCGCGCCTTTTATAATTGAAGAAGTTTAATAACCATTAGACTGAAGAGCTTCTAGCTAGTTCGGTTGCGTGTTTTCCTAGTTACAACGGTATTTGCCATTAATACTTCTGACGTGGTAGGTTACAAGCTACTGAATAACTGTTGAATAATCGTTGAGCTTGCTCCATATTCGGTAACAATTCTTCAATCTAATAAGTTTTTTCTTTCAAAATGAAACTCATGAAGATAATAATAAACATTCATGTGGCAGTTGGAAATGGAATCAATCAATCAATCACCAGGTACTTTAAACATAAACTGATCATCCTTGATCGAAGTCATGATCGATAACTGGTTGATCGATCATGTTATCAATTAAACAAAGTGAAAGAATTTGAAATAGATAACTATATTTATCGATCAAGTTTTTGATTAACTAATGATCTATCAAGTGATCGATAAATGAAAAGAGTGACTTTAAAAAGATTATGTAGAGAAAAGGCTCAAGGTCACCTATGATTTTGAGTCCCTTAAAATAGAGCATTAAGATAAACAGGAAGGCTGAGAAAAGCTTGAAGAGAAATATTTAGAAGTTTTTAAATCACACCGTAGCTTCTTGTTATTGAAAGAACTGGATCATTGATCGAATAAATGATCAAAAAATGTTTGATCAATCAGGTTATCGATAAAGCTAAGCAGAATAGAAGTTGATTTTCAAAGAATATTGATTGAATACTTTATTGATAAATGGATGATAAAAAAAGTGATCGATAAAAAGGTTTAACAA